GGGTGGGGGTGGGGGGGGTGGTAGGAGCCATGTGGACCATCTGCTTCTAATCACAGGATGAACAGGTGTCCTGGTCCCGGGCGCCTGCATGTACTTCCACGAGCCTCTAGATTTAAATACAGCAGAAGTGAGGCAATGTGAGCCAAGTGTTGGGTTACGTGATGTTTGCGATGAAATTCTCAGCATTCTGTTATGAACTGTACAGCATTTCTATCCCAGATTAAAGGAATAGTTGGGGTTTTTAAGTTATTTAAGGCATTAGATTTTACATGTGGTCAACGATCGCATCGTTACAATTTCGATCAAAAAAAGAAGAATGAAGTTACAGTATTCCAGTCTACCTGTACCAAAGTTATAAACACATTTTTAATCTTTTATTTTAAGCCCTAATCCATTTTTATTCCTATTACGAGGTGCTGCTAGAAACTTATTTTGTTTGGCCTTAGATCCAGATCAAAATGTACCTGTTTATTCTTCACTGTGGACCATGGGCCATGGCGATGGTACATGGTCCATAGTCATGACTGCAATGGAAGAAATGGCGGTTTGACTGTGTGAATTTTTAGCACACATACGGTATTAAGGCGCAGTGGGCTAGCTGGAGAGTTAGCCTTAGCCCTGACATGGAGGTTTGCAGGGCTGGGCAGGACATGCGCCCTCCTGTCCATTGGCCCTCCCACCTCAACCATGCTAGCATGCTGCTGCAAACTTACCTTCCTGCTGGTCCGTTGTTCCTCGACTCCTTCTTGACTAGTTTCCGTTTATCCTTGCCGTGTGCCTCTCGTAGCGAGGCTAAGGGAAGGCGGCATATCCTGCGCAGCCCGTTGCCACTGTGCCCATCAACGTCTACGACTACGATGCCTGCAGTTGCCACCTTAATATTAAACTATTCCGAAAATCTGGACACCTAAAGTACAAATATTCCCAATGGAAAACCCATTCTATTAAACCCAGCGTAGCCTGAAGTATGAGTAAGTTTCAGGTAACGTACATCCCCACAGCATTATCTTATTTTATTTTTTCCCATATCCTCAGAAACTCAAAGAAAAGCCAGATAAAAAGAACGGAAGTTGAGCCGTTAAGTGAATCCACGCTGGGCGGATTGGTGTGTGTGTGTGTGTGTGTGCCCCGGGGGCCGGAGCAGCAGGGGCGAAGACTGCGGCTACTCGTCCTTTATCCCTTTGTACCAACACGGGGATAACTCTGCGACCCTCCAACCTCTTAACAAGACCTGAGAGGTTAAAGAGGTGGACGCAGCCAGAAGCAGTCGACCAGCTGGTGTCATCCTCATCCTCTCTGCAGACAACAATACTTTAACTCTTAGCCCCCCACACATAAAGAGGGAGACCAAACATACCAGACCACATGGTGTGTGTGTGCGTGTGTGTGTGTGTGTGTATACAGGGGAAGGGGAAAGGGGGGGGTCATCAGACTTTGAAGGCACAAAAGGCCGGCCTTAGGCCCAGTGCCCTTTGGGTCACCCAAGGATGCAAGAAAGCATCATGATCAAGACACACACACACACACACACACCACCTGCTGTTCAGCCAGCCTGATGTTAAATGTAATGAAGATGGAGAGGATTCAGCAGTGTCACCGTGCTTTACATACGTTCAATTAAAGCTCCACAGCAACCTGGTTAGAAGGGTTTTAGGTGTTAGCCATGGGCAAACTAAGGCCCGGGGGCCGGATGCGGCCCGTTCAGCTTTTTAATCCGGCCCGCCAAACTTTTCCAAATGATATAATTCACTTATATTATCATAATTCTTCTCCCTGCAATACTCGTGTTTCCCCAATAGATGGTGTAGAAAATCTGTCTTCTCCCTGCAATACTCCTGTTTCCCCAATAGATGGCGTAGAAAATGATGAAAACATTTTAGCATATTAGCCTAATGCATGACTTTTACATGTCATTTATCTTAGTTTGCACAAACGCTCCATCTATCTGCTCCTGACCCGGCCCCCCTGTTCAATTTTAGGACAATTGTGGCCTGCGAGTCAAAAAGTTTGCTAACGCCTGGGCTAGCTTATACAGTATTAATGCTATAAGTTAAAAAGTAGACTCATCTCATCATGCTAATACTTCTCCAGCTACAGCTTCCTTTAAACCGTTTGGAAGAAATCTCTGGCTTGAATCTAGGAGGACGTCGTCACATCCATTTTGCAGTTACGTCTTTTTTTTTTACGTCACACGCCCTCATCTTTCTGATTAGGTCATGATAGATAGCCGGTGAATTGGTCTTCGCTGGGCTTAAGCAAATTTCCTCTGAGCTTCTGCCTGTGTGCAGGTGCATGAAACAGTAAGTGTGAGTGTGTGTGCGCCTGAGACATCAGGGCGAGTGCCAGGTCAGAGGGGTCAGCAATAAACAAAAGCAGGGAGCAGTTCCCAGCTGCCAGGCAAAACATCAGCAGGCGAACTCCGCCCATTCCGACTCCCTCTCTTTTCACTGCGAGCGTGCCACGGCCCTCCGGCTTTCTGCTGACACATGCACATTTGCATACACACTTGTCTCGCTTGGAAGTCCTCAGTCATGTCTAGAGCTCACTGTGAAAAAAAGGGGTCGGTGGGTTTGAAGGAGGCGCGAGGAACATGTTCGCTTTCAGCTCACAGTGTAGCCGTGGGGGTTTGTTTCCAGTGTAAATGGAAGGGGTTAATATTAAAGCTTTGTTGATGCTAAATAAACAGGCCTTGTTAGTCAAAAGATGATGAATTATTAGCTCATATAAAACAGCTTTACTTTTTAAAAAAAAACATCTAAGGTTAGTTAGGAAATAGTTCAAATTTGCTAAAATGTGTATAATGTGTATATAAGGTGCATAGAAAATAGCTAAAATACACAAATAAATCATCCTGTACAGTTTACATGTATCTTGTATAAACTGTTTTTTATTTTTTCTTCATAATTTGATTCTTGGTATTATATTTTTCACCAAATTGTAGAACCTTTTCAGCTAACCTGTCATCAACCTTTTAGCTCATTAGCTAACTAGCTTCCCCTGAGCCAAACCTCATATTGTTCAAGGAACCTGTGCATTAACAAATAACCTTTTTTAACTTGATAATTCTAATATGATATATCTCAAAAGGTTTCCGACTTATTAGAGAACTGTAATTAAGTTAATTATTATGTGTGTATTGTGAATTCCAAATGTGCTATTTTTTAAAAGATTTAAAACGTTTTATCAAATATGTTATATATGTTATGCACCTTTCCTAAAAATCAATTTCGAAGTGTCATCTCCGTTATATTTGAAACTATCAACTTACTTTTTAACAGCCTCAAAAACTCCAACAAATAAGAGTTATTTGTTGATGTTTTGGGTACGAGTGCTACGTTGTGTTAGCTCTTCAGGCGCTCAGTTGTCTCCCTCTAGTGGACAGTACTTGTAATTGCAACAAAGGTGAGGCGAAGCTCACGTAGGAAGATATCTTTATTACTCGACAGTGGGGGCAGCTACAGAGGTGAAGTAAGGAGGAAAATGTTCCCTGAGGAGGAAAAGGTTAAAGACGAGAATATGTCTGAAAGGGCCAAGAAAACTAATGCTGACGGCCATACTCCAGCACAGGAGGGGGCGGTATTGCACCTTAAAAGATGATACCAGCAAAATAAAAAGAAGAAGAAGACGCGCTGAGTCGGTTCCAGGTCGTGTGTTTTGGACCTGTAATTCCCTCTCTTGACGCTTCATGGGTGGGTCACCGCCACCACCGATAAACCTTCTGCCCCGGGAGAGAACGGCACAGGTCCCGGGGCCGTGAGTGCTGCTCACCGAGCGGCTAAGGGCGGAGGAGATGGTCGGTGTTTTGAAGGAAACCGACCGGTCAGAGCCGGAGTTCTACAGCCGGGGGAGGCGGCTAAATAACAAGCTAAACTCTGGAGGTAAACCGCACACAGCAGGTCAGTTTCTAGGTTAGGTGAAGCCGTGGTCATGACAGATTGAAACAACTCTACTTGTCGTTAACTTAAGTTGAAATAAACGGGTTATTTCACGCAATTAAATGAGAAAATCGAAATATGTCTTCTTTATAAACTACGGTCTTCTGAGGATGTTAGTAATTTCTAAAAAAAAAAAAAACGTCCAATCGACAACATTTTTAAGACTGGTCTAAATAGCTAGGAAACCAATTCAAACAAATTACGTAAACTGGGTGACTTCAGTAACAGAATGTTAATTGAAATACTAGAATGTCTATAATTGCAGCTTTGCTACTTCAGCTGCATAGCTTAGTACAGTGGTTCTCAAAGTGGGAGTGCATCCCTCTAGGGGGCGCAGCACACCACTGCACACAACCAAATGTAACTTCAAGAGCCCGGGGAGCACCTCAGTGGTAACTTGGCAGCTGGTGGACTCGAACCTGAAGCCTTCCGGACACAAGTCCGCTTCCTAAACCACCATTGTCCAAGAACCATGCCGAAATGTCCATTAAGGTTCTCTACGTTTTCTTTTCAGCTGAACAACAGCTCAAAGAGATTCCTCGGGAACAGCACCTCATTATAGTCAAAGAAGAGTTTCCACTTGAGCAGACGGAGCAGAACGCTTCTGTGGACCAGGATGAGCTACAGCAGGGCCACATTAAGGAGGAAGAAGAGGAGCAAGTGTACATGGAACAGTACGGCATCATTGCTGTGACTGTGGAAGGTGACGATAAAGACCGTCCTGATATTTCAAAGCAGGAGAACAAAGCAGACCACGGAGGACTAGAACCAGCCAGCACCTCACCTGATCGTGGTCTTTTCGGACCGGGTACTGAAGACGAGCGTGAAGAGTCTTCGGAGACAGACGACAGTGAAGACGACTGGAAGGAGACGGGCGCACCACCAGATTTGAAGCTGTTAAAAAATCTGTCCTATTGCAGCGTCGTGGAAGGTAACCACAGCGATGAACTGAACTCTCCTGAAAATCATGGAGCGTTTGCTGACAAGTCTCATCTGGTCAAATACAAAAACACTGACTGTGGAGAGAAGTCTTTTAGTTGCTCTGAATGTGGTAAGATATTTACACGAAAGAACAATCTCAGACAGCATGAAAAACTCCACGCAGACGACAAACCTTTTGTTTGTTCCGGGTGCGGTAAAAGATTTACCAAAAACTCTGATCTGAGGAGACACGAGCAAATTCACACGGGACAGAAACCGTTCTGTTGCGTCGTGTGCGGCAAAGGATTTTCCCAAAGAGGTCAACTGAAGAACCATGAAATAATTCACACGGGAGAAAGACCTTTTGGTTGCTTCACGTGTGGGAAACGATTTTCACGAAATGGTAATCTAAGGACCCATGAAAGGATTCACACTGGAGAGAGACCTTTTAATTGTTTCGTGTGCGGTAAAGGCTTTACACACCGGACTCACCTGCAGATACACGAGAGAATTCACACTGGGGAGAAACCCTTCAGTTGTTCCGTCTGCGGTAAAAGTTTTATCAAAAGAGCTGCTATGAGGATACATGAGAAGGTTCATACTGGAGAGAAACCATTCAGTTGTTCCGAGTGTGGTAAAAGGTTTACGCATAAGACTAATCTAAAGGCACACGAGAATGTCCATACGGGAGAGATACCATTTAGTTGCTTTGAGTGTGGGAAAAGATTTTCAATTAAGAGTAAATTGAAAGCACACGAGGACATTCATAAAAGAGCGGTGGGACCTAAACGAGGCAAATGTCACTGACTTACAGTAACTAAGTTGGGATTTGTCGGGGCAGACGTGAGGCCCGTGGGAAAACACGACCAAACTCATGTTCGCAACTCAGCCGTTACATAATGGGTGTGTTGCAAACATGGTTTTGGTTTTTGTGTGTTCTAAATGTATCTCAGTGAAATAAAACCACATTATTGTCATTCAACTTTTTTCATGCCGTGGGTTGACCTGGTTTCCCTTAGGGGTTGTCTTTTACTTTGGTGAAATACATTCAAGAATGAATGACAAGGAAGGTTGTTGTAGATGAGTTCAGGGGTGCCTCATATTAAGAACACTGCCAAAAACAAATACAAGGCCAACGTTTTTATAGTAACATTTCTAGTAACAACATAAAAATATAGTTTTAATTTTGAAAAAAAAAAAAGTGGAATCGGTTTTTGACCAGGATAGATGTCAATGGGACTGGACAGATTTAAAGTTGTCACTTTACTGAAGGAAATGTGTGCCTCAATTGTTAGGCTAGGTTTCTTTTAGGGAGATATTTCACTGATACTGGAATATATTAATCATTTTCTCCACACTAGTTGTCATTAGTTAAGTTTTGTAAAAAAAAAAACTCTTATTTTGTAACAAGAGATGAGTTTTTGAAAGTACAACAGTAAAAAAGGTCTGAGGTTTCATTTATGACCATTAGCCAGTGGCTTTTTGGTATCGGTAGGTGGCAGCAGAAGGCTATACAAACTTACAATAATTAATTCCCACAGTTTTGCTTGTCATCAAATATCAAACATTTCTTCCCTTTAATAGATAGATAGACACTTTATTGATCCCAAAAGGAAAATTAAAATAATAAATTGGGGATAAAGTCGGTTTGACCTTTTAAAGTGTGAAAGCAGTACCAGAAATTAAAGTGAAACGTTTTTTTACGCGTTTAAATCGGAAATCAAAATGAAACCTGTGCGTAAAAAAATGTGTATTGATTTTAAAAAATCACGCTGTGCTCTACATTTGTGGGCGTTTTGCAGCCATCCGTTAGCTCCACCCTTCGTTTGCAAACAAACAAACCTTGAACTAGTCCATATTTGGGACATGCTCGGTGGCAGCACCGGCGTCTCAACAGTCACGGATTGCGTGTTTGGACATTTGGTTCTGGACCCACGTCTTACTGACGCCACATGAGCTGACAGACTTTATGCTGTGAGCTGCAGCTCACTGAGCGGCTAATGGCGGAGGAGATGACCGTTGTTATGTTGGAGAAAACCCGAAGCATCAAGGATGGATCGACAGAGGAGGCTGTCAGACGCAGAACTAACGCATGGCGTCAGTGTTACACACTGTAGGTCAGGTTTCCTTTACTGGACTGGGAAGAATCTAGCTTTTCGGTGTGCTACTAAATTCCACCTCCTGTCAGTGTCTACTTAAACGGACAATGTCGTAACCCGGTCTCGTGTTGTTGTCCACACTGCGGCGTTGTCTGTAACGATCGTTTCGCGTTTGCGGGAACGTTACAAAGATACTGTACGTCAAGCCTACATTATGCCCCGGAAGTGATCAAATTCCGATGACGTCACGCTACTACCCATAGTTCCGTAGTCCACCATCTTGTAGGGCAAACAAAGGTATCGACCATAAGGTGGACTAAATCATTAATCTAAAAGTCTAATCGGATTAAATACACAAAAGAATACCGATAATGGTAAATACCTGTGTCGTGTCGGGTTGTACCAACCGAGCTGGGAAAGGAGATCGTAAGCTAAAGTTTTTTGTCATACCTAAAGTGATCTGTCACCAAGGGAAGCTGACGGAGGATATTTCCACAGAAAGAAGGATGCTGTGGCTTTCACGTATCAACCGTGTGAATTTCAACCCGGAGCCAAGCCAAAGGCATTACAAAGTCTGTTCGGAACACTTCATTTCGGGTAAGTACATTGTGCTTTTATTTCATTCATATGTTCAATGTCAATAATATACATGTATTTTATTTATATATATATTTTCAGGGGAGAAAGCTGATCTTTATGACAAGACGAATCCAGATTGGGCACCATCTTTGAAAATGAGAACTGTTAAAAAGAAGACATCAAAAACTATGTCCGCAAAGAGGCGATATAAAAGATCAAAACGGAGAGATGGAAAGAAGATAAAGCTGAAGACTGCGGAACCGCTTTTGGACCTTCGGGCAACAGCTGATAGCAACACAGACTTTGATGAGACTTTTTGTTTTAATGGGAATCTTGAACCAGCAGGAGAAACAGCAGGTGATAAACTTTTGTACACCTCTGTACACCTCCATCTAAGTGATGTGGTCAGATTTGAACTGATCTAAAGTGTGAAAATAATGCTAAAATGCACCAAAAATTATCAGCCACGTGGCTTCTTTGAATATAAGTGATGTGGTCGTATTTGAACTGATAAATATTTCCAACATGACGTCAGAATAACTGGATTTCCAGCGGGAAGGAGAAAATAAAAGACAAAAAAAGTTGTGTTGTTATAGGATCTACATTTATTTATTCAACTTTAGCAAACGCTAAAACATCTCTCTTGTTCGGCAGGTGATCAGCGGCGCGTGGCGATTAAAGAAGAGTGTCCTCTCGAAGAGCAGGAGTGGAGCGTCACGGTGTACCCTGAAGAGAAACTGCAGTCCCACAAGGAAGGGTGCATTAAAAGGCGGGGGATCGATGATAACGCTACGGCTGTGAAGATCAAGGAAGTATATTTGGAGCCAGGTACTACATTTAAGACATGAAAAAGACACGGGAGAACAAAGTGTCAAGTTGGCAAACGTTTGGATGAAACAGTTATCTTAAGGGAGAGAGAGACTTAATTCTGTAGATGCTGAATCACACAATGGAATTATTACAATACAGAAGTCCTTTAGAGTGGAGGTAGATATGCAGAACATGAAGCTGTGTTCCAAAAAGTGCTGAACTAATGCATCGCAAAAATCAATAAGTTAATGAACTAATTCATTCAGGAATGTATTATTGCTCTGTTCACAGTTTAAAAAAAAAGAAAGAGAAAACCAAACAATTGTTCTGGCTATTGGAGAACAGTGACAAACAATTCGATTAATAATAATTTAATTAATTAATTAAATTTTTACTTTTAAAGTCTTCCATATAATTTCTCCGTCAGGTGAACAGCTCCTTAATGTGATTAAAGAAGAACAGCAGGGATGGAGCGACACTACGGACCAGAAGGAGCCCCAGCTCCCCCGCATTAAAGAGGAAGAGGAGGAAGTGTCCATCAAACAGGAGGAGGTTGATTATATTGCCGTGGTTGTAAAGGAGGAAAAAGACGAAGAGATGTCAGAGTTCTCACTTCTTCATGCAAGTCCAACTGAGGAGCGGATGGAAGAACAATCCTGTACCTCGGCTCCAGAAGGACACCTGGGACTAGGTTCAGGAGATATGTCGGAATATTCTTCTGAAACAGATGACAGTGAGGACGATTGGAGTAACAGTAACTGCAACACTGGTGAGGACCTGGGTTGTATTGATGGGTCTCATCTGCTGAACAGTGATTGTGGAGAGCATTTCCAGAGTTCCTCCGAATGTGAGCAGACATTCCTACAACATAATGATCTTGAGGATAATGAAATGAACCATACAGAGAAAATCCCTTATCAGTGCTCAGTGTGCGGTAACGTATTCAAACAGAGAAAGAATTTGCTGGTCCATTACAGAATTCACACGGGAGAGAAACCTTTCAGTTGCTACGAGTGTGATAAAAGGTTTACCAATCAGTCTGATTTGAGGAGACATGGAAAAACTCACACGGGAGCAAAACCGTTTCCTTGTTCGGAGTGCGGTAAAGAATTTACCAATACATCCAATTTGAAAAGACACGAAAAAGTTCACACGGGGGAGAAGCCTTTCAGTTGCTCTGTGTGTGGGAAAGTATTCTCAGAAAAAAGCACTCTAAAGAATCACGTAGTAATTCACACAGGAGAGAGACCTTTTGTTTGCTTTGTGTGCAGCAAGACCTTCTCACGAAGCGGTGATCTGAAGACGCATGAAAGGATTCATGAAAGACCGTACCGTTTGTCTGCGTGCGGTAATAATTTCAAACACAAGACTCGTTCGCAGGAGCTAGAGAAACTGTTCATTTGTGCTGTGTGTGGTAAACAATTTACAAATAGTGCTAATTTGAAGACTCATGAAAGAATTCACACTGGGGAGAAACCGTTTGTCTGTTCCGTGTGCGGTATCGGATTCACCAATACGTCTAATTTGAAGACCCACGAACGAATTCATACGGGGGAGAAACCGTATAGCTGCTCCGTGTGTGGCAACAGGTTTATAAGAAGCTGTGATCTTAAAAGACATGAAAAAATTCATAACAGAGAGTGACCTCACATTTGGGTTGTAAAAAAAACCAAAAAAAAACACTCGTCTGCACACGCATAAGACTATCCCGAGGCACGTGAATACATTTGCTTGAGATTTACAGTTTAGGAAAATTCACACAGGAGAGAAACCACTATCCCGAGGCACGTGAATACATCTGCTTGAGATTTACAGTTTAGTGCCAAACTATATAGCGATTTGGCAGTTTTTTTTTGTTTTTTTTTTTTACATCAGATGTTGCTCCTGATACAACACAACCTTGGATTTGGGCTCTATGTGGAACAAAAAGGACCAGAAAATTGGTGCTCCGCTTTACCAACTTTGACATGACACAGAATAGTAAATATGAACCAGATTAAGCCATTTTGTAATATAGTAAAATTGTATTAAAATGGGCACATTTCGTTACTATGCTTGTCTTTACTACAAGAAGAAAATAATTTAGTTTGGAGTGTTCATGTTCTCCAGTTTTGTGGGTTTTCTCCAGGTAATCTGACAGCCCAAAAGTTAGGTGATAGGAATTATTTCCAGTTCTCCTGCGAAAAGGATGAAGAGGTAGATAATGGATGAGAAATGGATGGGTCAAGAACCATAACTGGTTTGTTGGTGCTTCTCTACCAATGACATGTCCTGTAACATGTGAAAATGTGTAAAAACAAAAACAACAACTCAAATAGCATTTTGCTGTGAAAGGTGTTTTTATAAGTAGAATTACTAAATAATAGACACTGGTATTTACAGTAATAACAACAAAAATCAAACTTCTTCTGCTGAGATAATTGCTGCACGTGTTTTGACGTCCGTTACATATATTAACACTCTTGTTTTATTTTGGTTTACAGCCATATTGTGTGGCAAATATCATATTAACCTCACGTTTAGACGTTTAATGTGCGCCCTGTCCGTAAATTATGACGTATCATTTTGTGATTACGCTTCGTGAGTTCGCCATGTTGTAGTTTTTGATCGCAAACTCTCGCTCCACCCATCGGTTCCAAACAAACCGCGGTGGAGTTCGTCGGTGAAATACAGTTGATGTTGATTGACAGTAGTGTTAAAGAAAGTACAGAGTGCGTGTTCAGACTGGAGCCATTCACGCGACGTGAGCGGATCAGCGCTGCCCCACAAAGACGCTCTCCAGGCGGAAACGGCGCAGGTCCTGGAGCTGTGAGCGCTGCTCCCGCTAATGTCAACGGAGATGCTCGCTGTGTTGGAGGAACCCGAGCCGTCAGAGGTGCAGACCAGCAGCCAGCTGAGGTTCACTGGTGCCAGACTGTCCATTGCAGGTTAGTGAAGCTGTAAAAAGAATGAAACGAACCGAGCTGCTCTGCGGTGGATGATGCTAATTCACGCCTTGCTGCTTCTTGTCACGTTATTTACAAATCACGAAAGGTTGTATGAGGTTTAAACGAGAAATTCGAATGCAGTATGTCGTATTAAAATAAGTTTTCCCAACGCTCAGTAACTGTGTTCAGTCAGTCAGGGATAAACCTCATTACCTCGGTCAGGTAGCAGCATAGACTGTGTAGACATGTCAAACATAGGGCCCGCGGGCCAAACCTGGTCCATTAGGTGGTTCAATCTGGCCACTTGATTAATTTTGAAACTTTAGCACCCCGACTTAACTGTCTTGACCTAAATGCCATTGTAGTAGACTTTGAGACCATGTTAAAATATATACTGTGTGTTTTGTTGATTGATGTTTGTCTTGATTTGGAATTAATTAAATAGAATCAAATATTACAGTTATACATTGATTTTATGATAACACTTGAAGAATGGTAGCTCATTTGGCTTTTTTGTTTGTTTGTTTGTTTTTATCGTAATTATCTGTCACTGTCTGTTGGGCAATTTTAACATCAACAAACTAGTCTGAATCTTTTTTAATGTCTTTTCACTTTCTCCTCAAGGGTTGGTGAGTAAGGACGGATTTGGACCCAAGCAGGAAGAGAGGAGCCCAGTTGTGGACCAGGTGCAGCCACAGTGTCCGTACATTAAAGAAGAAGCAGAGGAAGTGTGCATCAAGCAGGAGGAGGGAGACATTATCGCTGTGACTGTAACGAGCGAAGTCAAAGATAAGCCTGACTTCGTGCTGTTTCATCACAGTTGCACAGAGGAGACCAGTGGAGGTCCAGTACCAGGGAGCAGTTCCAGGTTAGATGGCTGTGGAACATCAGGTATTGACATGTAGACTTTTCTAAAACTCGGGGTCAAAGACATTTAGTTGGTCATCTGACATCTGGCGAAAAATATAGCACCTCTTAGCGTTAATGTGTGCTGTGATCAGTTATTTAACATCATGTAAGGCCTCGGCGTCAGTTATCTGGAGAGGCAGAAAAGTACATGTTATGAAATGATATGACATTAGAGGGGCTGGTAGTGGTGCAAAAGTATAAAGCGATGTTTAGTATGTATCGCGATAGGGCGTTCTCTGCAACTTCAACTCCAGGGTGAGGAGGTCATACTGAATGAGCACGCAACCCAAGAATTTGATCGTTTGGATGCTAATGCACTAAACTGATCTCTCTGTATCGTCAGGACACGCATAACTGTACTGCCCCAAGAAAGTGTGTGACGTTGGTACACAAGTTTGATCTGTTTACTGGCCAACATTTGCATCCAGAAGTGTCCTAATCACTTAGGAATGATAAAAATCTGGAAAAAAACACATAAATGAAGTAGCATCCCTCCATTATCTGTTAAATGATTAATCTTATAAGTAACTAAATTGACTGAATTTTTGGTGTAAATTATTGCATACTATATATACTCTACCTTCAGAATCTTTCTAATTTCTCCATCAGGTGACCAGCTGGGACTGGATTTTTGGTGTAAATTATTGCATACTTTACCTTCAGAGTCTCTCTAATTTCTCCATCAGGTGACCAGCTGGTGAGAAAAGAAGAGTTTCCTCTGGAACAGCAGGAGTTGAGCGTAACCAAGAACCAGAAGGAGCAGCACCACATCTCCATCAAAGAGGAAGAGGAGGAACTGTGCATCAAACAGGAGGATGTTGATATTATGGCAACAGCCTTGAAGAGTGAAGATGATGAAGACAAATCAAAGATCGACACACATCAAACTAAGGATTACATCAGTGTCTCCGAAGCGCCAGAGTCAGCCTCCATGTCAGAAGATGAAGAGTCTTCTCAGACGGAAGACAGTGAAGATGACTGGAAGGACACTGGTGTGCCAACAGGTTTAAAAAGAATACACGATGTGTCCGATTTCAGCGATGGAAGATGCAACATTCACGAGGAACTTGTCTGTGATGGGTCTCATTTGATACAGAACGGAGACTCTGGAGAAGAATTACTGACTAGCCAAGCGTTTAGACAACAAAAATATGTTGGAGAACATGAAGAAAGTCATGCAAACGAGAGTCCTTATCGATGCTGTGTGTGTGGTAAAATATTCACACAGAAGTCCAATCTGCGCATGCACAAGAGGATTCATACAGGGGAGAAACCGTTCAGTTGTTTGGATTGTGGGAAACGATTTACAAATACATCTGCCTTGAAGAGACATGAAAGAATTCATACAGGAGAGAAACCGTTCAGTTGCTCTGTGTGTGGGAAACTGTTCTCTCTAAAAACCACGCTAAAGAACCACGCATTTATTCACACAGGAGAGAAACCTTTCCGCTGCTTTTTGTGCGGCAGGCGTTTTTCGCGGAATAGCAATCTAAGGACGCATCAAAGAATACACACAGGAGAGAGACCGTACAGCTGCTCTGTGTGTGATAAAAAGTTTAAACAGAGAACTAATCTGCAGATGCATGAGAGAACTCATACTGGAGAGAAACCTTTCAGTTGTTCCATGTGCGGTAAAAGATTTATTAGTAAGAGTAAACTAAAGATACATGAAAATACTCACAGATGAGTGGTGTACCCTATAAAAGTATACTTGTAGCATGTACACTATACACAAACTGTGGATTTAATGTATTAAAACTACAGCGGTTGCTCTTTCATCATCATTAGCATAGTGTTCAGTTGTACCCTGCCATTATGTAATGAGGGCTGTGATTGGCTCCAGCTGTTTCAGGTCTGTGAAATGGATTATGGTATAGAAGATTTTTTTGTTCTTCTTTATCCGTCAGAAAATCCTAAAATCATTTGCAAAGTTTGTTGCATATTTACTACATTTCTGACACTTATCGAAATACTAATTTCACAGTGGTTAGTGCGCTTGCTTTACTACATAAAAGTACTTGGTACAGTACAAGTCCTCAGATGGAGGACCAGTCTGTTTGGAGTTGGCAATTAGCATGATGCAGGTTCCCAGTGTGCTCCTATCAGTTAAAGTGTAAAAGTCTATATAGAAAAAAGTTAAATAGAATTAATGTGATTCTAAATTGCATATGTATCATATTGGGGCTCATGAAACCGCCATGTTTTTGCAGCCAGCCGTTAGCTCCACCTTCCGTTCAGAAACCAAACACAGTCGATAGTAGCAGCAGTGTTTCATAAAGTCCGGATTGTGTGACTAACTGTTGCTGTACATCAAATTATCTCCTACGAGATAACCAGCGCTGTGACTGAGAGAGAGACGAAACGACGCAGGTCCTGGAGCTGTTAGCGGCTGAACTCTGGTCGTTAGGCCGCCAAAGGCGGAGGGAGATGGTCG